GGTAATTTTATTTACCCTCATGAGGGCCCTCCCGACTGATTTTTTTTTTCTTTTTTGTGGGTTAGGGGGTCATCTTTGTTCCCCCTCAAATATGTACATTTTAACCAGAAGACACACAAGAATCGGAACCGATACGATGCTTTGAGGCATCATTTGTGCCCCATTGGCCAATGAAGTCATTTGCATGTTGCAGCCACACCGATGAGGCTGTTTAAATTGAAAACTAGTGGTCGTGCAGTCACGTGAAGTTAAATCATTCAAAGGAAAAAAAACCTCAAGAAAACAAAAAGGCGACAGATTTATTCAGTTGAAAATTCAGCCATGAAGCAGTGAAACTACCACCAATGTCCTGGGGAAATCCTGCACAGTTCCAATGTATTTTTGTGTGTTTCGGCTGAATTCCATTTTGCGTCTTTTCCTTTGCCTTCCTCTTTGGTAAATTCAAGGTTAAGCCTCTTCCACGACATATTTGCGCCAAAGAGCCTGTGAAGAAGAACCCCACCCACCCCCCACTTTCCAAACAACATTATGTGACAACTCGACGGTTTTACCAAGTGTGTCGCTTGGGTCGGACGTGCTATTCCCAAAGCTTTCACAGGGTGCACCTGTGAAAAGTACAGCTCGACACCCAACGCGTGATCATTTGCGTTGCCTTTCCATTGTGTCTGATGGAAAGAGCCGTCGGTATGCTGAAGGGCCATTGTACAGTGTACACCTATTGGGACGGGCCCAACAAACGCTGACGCCATGCTCTGCCCACATCCCTTCGGAGGTCCACAGCGCCCGTCTGTGCACGCTGCCCCTACTTGGGGCTCATTTCAGTAGGAGTTGCTCATTTTGGAGGGCCTAAAATACATGTATTTTGAGTTTGAGGCCATGTTGAAAATCAACTAGATCTTCAGAAGGATAAGCGTCAATCCAAATTGGGTGTCCCTCATCTTCTGGCTGATCAGCACATATCGCATCATCAGTTTTCCATGTGCTTTTTCCATTTTCTGCCAGTTTGGGTCACTGAGAGGCCAGCGCTCTTTCCACCTGTGTTTCAGCACATCTCACGCTACTATGCACTGCGCACACTCGCACGGGTGCATAAGGGAGGCGCTTCGCAGGCGGCAAGCGCGGCCAATGTGTTTACATGTGCTGAGCTTGTCAATGGAGGGAAGGAGCACGAGGAGGTTGTGCATGCGCGAAGGCATCCTGTGAGCAGGAAGGACAAAATATTAAGTGAATAATGGATCCGGGCGTTTGAATTATTGACGGAGTGCATTGATGCTTTCATGACGGGGGGTGGGGGTGGGGAGGTTGAGCTAACATTCCAGGCTTCATTCATGAAAAAGGGCGGCAAATGGGAGTGACTACTACACACCTCCCATCCAAAACACACTACCTGTACTGTACTCCATCCATCCATTTTCTAATCCGCTTCTCCTCATGAGGGTCGCAGGTGTGCTGGAGCCTCTCCCAGCTGTCTTCGGGGCACACCCTGAACCGCGTGCTAGCCAATCGCGGGGCGCACACGTAGACAAACAACCATTCGCGCTGACACTCACACTTTGGGACAATTTAGAGTGTTCCATTCACCTGCTACGTATATTTTATGTACAACCCTAAACCAAAAGGATAATCGCTCAAGATAATCTCTTGGGGACATGTGATAATCAGACCTTTGATGACTTTGAGGGCACCATTTAGGCTTGATTATTGGGATGTACGCTGCTTCAAATATTGAACATCTTCAACACAGTCCTGGCCTTTGACTTTGGTTGGAAAAGGGAAATTGGGTTGGAATTAGGCCCCAGTATCAGTATGTGCGTAATTATTGGACAAGTTCAACATGCACCAATGTGGTCCTGACTGCTTTCCCAGAAGAAGGATGAAACACTCTTAGCACATTAGAAGATAATCGCTCAGGTTAATATTTTAGAGACATCCAATATTTGAACCTTCCCTGGGATGCGTTGCCCAGGGCCCTGAGTGAGTGCTCTCAATCAACAACAACAACAAAAAACCTCAAACAAAGCTTGTTTGCATCCTGTGTACTCATTCACTAATAAAGCACTCACATGTAGCCTCACTGAAATGTGTTGACAAATAATTGCGCTATCTGCCAGTAACCAAGCTTCTGCATCCCAGTAAGTTGCAATGTCACAGGACATTTCAGAGAGGGACAAATGGGACACAAGAAGGCAGCAGTGTGCCCAGGAATGTTGGCACAGCTGCCAGGGGCAGGGCAAGCGGGGGCAAAGACAGCATGGCACACGTCAACCTTTGCCCCCTTTGTCGTATTCTGTCTTCCGCCCGCAGGGTGTGTTAGGCATCACGAGGACCCGTTTGCCCAGTGAGGGGTGGACAACCATGTGACATCCCCCCACCTGCGTGACCTTTACTGCGGTTGACTTCCCCGGCAGGAGACCATCACCTCCAAGCAAAGAGCCCTGTGGGAGATGTGGACACAAAGCAGCGTCAGGGAGACGCATATACACATGGACAGAGATAGAACTGTGTGAGACAGACTGAATATGTTTCAAAGTGTGCTTATTACTCTAAAACTAGAGGCCACGTTTTAACTACATCCCGATATGCATGGTGCAGTCATTCTGAATAGACCAAACCCATTGCGAATTGTGAAAATCTGTGCGTAATCAACGCCCATTCCCCCAAAATGTTTATAGTTGCTTCTAACATTACTTTAAACCCTAGATGAACGGTTTTCTTTTTCTTTTTTGTAGAACCTATGCAGTACTACGTACTACCTGTACATGTTGGCGGGGCAACAGAAGGGTGACTGGTGCTTTAAGAAAACGTCATCAAAATCCAAGATGGCGGCTCACCGATTCACTGCGACCGTACAGCATAGACGTGTTTGCTAATACATCTCGGTAAGTGAAAGATCCACTTTAAGTGCCCCGAGTGGGTGTAGAAATGTCATAAACGGCATGAAACGTGTCTATGCTTTAATTTGTAGCACTCGCCGAGTTTGCAACTGGCGTTAATGATTTTTAAATGCATCTTTTTGACTTGGTTATGCGGCACGTGATCTAGTATGTCTCCTTTGTTTTATATCTCAGGTTTTCGGTTAGAGCGGTGAAGACGCCGCTTTCTCCTTCTCTGTTTTGACTACAATGAATCCAATAATTAGACGGACACTTCCTCGGTCAGTGAGGACTCTTCTGACAGACATCGGTCCTAAGGACGAGTGGCCGGAGGAAGCAGAGGATGCCGGGGCGGCCAGCAGAGATGGAATCCTGCTCCCCGGAAGAGGGGCGTCTTCTGGACAGAAGGAATTCATCACTCAGGCTTCGGCTGATGGAAAGCTCTCCAAAGTGTGCATGCTGTGCAACTGCAAGCCTGCGTGTTACACTTGCCCTAGGTGCAACTTGCATTACTGCGGCGTGGCTTGCTACCGCAGCCCGGATCACTCGGTGTGCTCAGAGGAGTTCTACAAGGAGGCTGTGTTTGAGGAGTTGAAAAACATGGCGGCAACAGACCAAGAGGGAAAGAAGAAAATGCATGAGATTCTTCTCGGACTGAGACAAAAGGCTCAAGTGACAAATGGAGGAATGGAAAGCGTGTTAAGAGAAGCCGGGGTGGAGCAAGACGGCGGCGTTGAGGCTGTGGAGCTGCTGTCCAGATTAGCTGAGCTTCAGGAATCGGAAGAAGATAGTATGGGGGAGATCGAGACCATCACGAGAACCTTGGAAGAGATTGGAGACCAGAAAGCAGATGAGGAGCCGTCGGAAAGCGTGGCCCGAAATCTGTCAGAGCTTGACCTCGACAAGCTCTCAGAAGAGGAGCTGTGGGCGCTGCTTGACAACGGGGAGAAGGAGAAGTTCACCGGTTTGCTTAGGCGGGGTGCTCTGGGCGGGTTGATCCCCGTGTGGAGGCCGTGGTGGGAGGAACACGACGAGGCAGGGAGAACGCTGGTGGAGTTGCTGGAGGGGGGGGTTCAGAATCCAGACCAACAAGTGAATAAGAGCAAGGATAAAACGGCAAGCTCTGCGGTCTCTGCCGTTCCTGCGATTTTTGCCCAAATCCCCAAACTGAGTTCCTTGTGTCCAAATCCATCTCCATTGGTCTGCTACAGTGTGATCAACGCTCTCTATTGCTATACTTTCACGTTGCAGCTCCTCAACGGTGATGCTGACTCACTCCTGTTTGAGTTCTGTGACACCATGCTCACGTTGTCTGAGGCGCTGAGCTCCAGCAAGGTTTTCAACTCCGCTCAACAGGCCATACACAGCGGAGAGACACTCATCTTCAGAGGAGGGTACCTCCACAAACAAGAATCACACGCCACAGACTTGGCGGTGGAAGCCACCGCTCACGTCCTGACAGGTAGAGACAAAGAGGACGCCACAGGATACATCCTGGCGGCCTTGAGTCAGATACGTTCGGCGCTCTCTCGAGCCAGAGCCTCTCTCTCAAAGAAGGGAGAAGAAGGTGCAAAGAGGCAGAAATACTTCCTGGCTTCCAAGAAGTGTGAATTCCTTCAGGCTTGGACGCTGGATCATTCGCGTCGTACTCGTGGGTTGGCTTTGGAGCTGTGGAACGAGCACAGTCAGCGAGCGAGGCGAAGGAAAAGTGTGGAGGAAACAAAGATGCTTGTTGCGGAGAGCTTTAAAAAAGGAAAGAGGAAAGTTCATGGTACATTGATACAGGAATTAAATTAACAGCTTTTCTAAAGGTTTGTGATATAATAAACAAAAAAAAATGTGAATAATTGTATGCTTGTATGGATGAATAAAGTGCATAACTGGTGAAACCCCTATTTGTTTTGTGACATCCCTTGTTCTAATTTTATAACGATTTAAGTTTAATTTCAGTTTGTATAATTTTATTTTTTTAAAGAATGGCTTGAAAGTACATATTACTGACAATTGCTTTTATAAGAAAATCATAGTTTGGGCAACCATCTTAAATGCGACATATTGTGCTTCAATGGCAAGTTCAAATTGCGTGCCAAATCTCGCGGTGCTTTGGTGACGTAAAACGGAAGTCTCGCTCGTCTTTTCCTTCTGCGACACAGCAAACATGGCCGCGCTCTTGAGATCTACCCGGTTCCTCAAGTTTTCGCCTTCGGGCTTGTTACAAATCGCGGGGACCAGAAGAACCGGACCGCCGCCCAGTCGGCTTTATAGCGGAAGAATTGATGTCGCCAGGACGGGACTTGTGACCCGACAGACGTACCCGAGTGTGGAGAACGCGTCCAGGTAAGCTACTAGCTTGGGTACCCGTCAACCACGCGCGTTAGCCTGATGCGCTGATGTCATTGAGGCTCAATGACAACCACAAAACAACCATGATTCGTACTCTTCCTGACAAATCTGTTCTTGTAATGCTGTTACGATAAAAGCGTTTCTTGTTACTGTTGCTCACGTGGCTTAGTATCAAGTAAATCTAAAGGCACCCTGTTGGGAAATCGGGTTAACATACGTAACAAGAATTTTGGTCCCTTGGAATCAAACATTAAAACACAGATTTTTTTTTTGTGGACGTTTACACTTGCAAGATAGTTATTACCATAGTTTTTAGTTTGTGTATGAACCGAGGTAATATAGGGTTTAATTTTCACAGACTAATTATCATTGATGTTGTTGCTTATGTCACGCAGCATCTTACCATGAAGCCAAAAAATGTCAGTGGAAAGTCACTGATGAGCCGATCACATTTAAGTTCATATTTTCTCCACGAGAAAGAGAGTTTTTCACTCAGTGACGGAGGAAAGGTTAAAAAAGGCTTGATTTGAAGGCCTGTGTCCTAGTGGTAACTATGTTTGTGAACTGTCATAATTTCCCACTGCACTACTGACAAGCTCTCATGGGACACAAATGTGCCGAAGCCGACCGGTATCGCTGCTTTAAATTGTCCATTGGTGGGAATGTAAGTGTGACTGATTGTTGTGTGTCATAATCTTGACCGCTGAATGTAATTGTTGCTTTCCTCCACTCATCCCCTCCAGTCATGCGCGGCCACATGCAGCGGGATGCGTCCGCAGCTACGGAGTGGCCGCGGAGAAGAAGGAGGAGCTCAGCGTGGCCGTGCGCACCAAACAGGCCCAGCAGTTCGACTGGGCCTTGGCCAAGCTGGACAGTTCGGTGAGGAGGACCGGTCGCATCACCAGGACTTTGCTGCTGCGCATCTTCCACGACATCTCCAGGGCGGGTAGCTACGGCAGACATAGACACCTGCAATTTAAGATCAAATACAAAGAAGTGCAAGTAAAAGGTCTTGCTTCTTTTATGCACTCCAAAGATACATGTTGCCTTTTCCATGGCTCCGTATTGTTGCAGGTTATCCGAGTGGTAACCAGGCCCTGCTACTGCTGCGGAGCTGCGGCTCTCTGCTGCCAGAAATGGGCCTGGACGAGCGCACTGAGTTGGCTCACCGCATCTGGGAGAAGCTGCAGGAGCTGGGTGAGTGAGAGGAATCGCACAATGGACTTTTTTGCTGAAATCGATTTAATCGGCCGATATTAGCGCTTAAAATGAGCAAAAATCGTCCAAGTTTTCTTTTTTGGTTCTTTAAAAAAAAAAATTTTTTTTAACTTTCTTCTCTACAGATGACATTCTGAATACCCTTCCTCCCGCTCCCAAATTATTGGAATCGGTATCAGCCTCAATAAAAATCCACATTATTATTATACCTTATTATAATGTATAGACTAACACGGAATGTTTGTAACACTGGGTGCAAAGATCCTTCCAGGTGGCAAAAAAATGAGTGGCAAATGCTGATGTGATGACAAAACCTGTTGCCATACCTTTTTTTGGGGGATTTGTTTCAACAAAGACGAAATGAAATCCAGTGCAACGTGCAAATAAGGAAGATCAATTGAGTGGAGATGGAAAATATTTGTACAGAGAAAATCCCAAGATGTACGTGACTGGAAACCAAAGACCTCCATCGCCGACTTTTCAAATGCGTTTTCTCACACCCGGACGTACATGTGGCGTCATGGCAAAATGTCTTATTGTAGACTCGAGCAATTGCAGCAGTGGGCTTTGTCTTATTCCCTAAGGTGCGCAATATGACGTGAGTCACTACAACGCCTTGCTGAAGGTGTACCTGCAGAATGAGTTCAAGTTCTCGCCTACCGACTTCCTGGCCAAGATGGAGTCTGCCAACGTCCTGCCGAACCGAGTAAGACGAAAGCACAGGAAACAGCCACTGACATGACGGATGTTGTTGCCGCCGTTGGCAAAATAAGAACTTTTTTTTTTTTTTTTTAAATTCCTGCACATTTTCCAACATATTTTTAATGCACACGGCTGTTTTTAAGTTCGGTCCTTTGTATTTATAGGTTACCTACCAGAGACTCATTGCAGCCTACTGCCAAAATGGAGACATTGAAGGTGCCAGGTGAGCTTGTGGATGTACAGTATTTTCTGCTCTCTCTCGAGGGGCTATTTTTTTGGAAAATTCATTGCTGGGCATCAGCAGTGGCTGTCTGCAACAGCCAAGTCAATCTTCTGTTCAATGTGCTCGAGCGAGCCCTTCTGATGTTTTTTTTCCCAGATTGTGACATCAGAGTGGGTTAGTTAATATATGAACAGCCCCCTACATCAAGCATCTTTGCCCATGATTTGGCACAGCTAGGCTGTGTGACGATGTGCTCTTTTCAAAGTGTCTAAAACACCAAAGCCAAAAGTGAAGCGGAGCTGTCGCCGTACTGGGCCTTGGCCTCGTGGCGGAGGGCTGTAGGATGATGAGCTCGTATCCTCGAGTCAGGATCACTCCTCTCTTAAATGGTCACAAACAGGCTCCTTGCAACTGTTATCAACTCAAGCCTTTGGAATTGTTGAGGATATTTTGTGTACGTATTTCAGAATCACCATCCATGAATTGTTATGCTCGCTTCATTTCCAGCACCATTCTGGGTTTCATGAAGAGCAAAGACCTCCCCATCACCGAAGCCGTTTTCGACGCGCTGATAACGGGCCACGCGCGGGCAGGGTGAGTGCTGCTGCTTTTGTCTTTGTAATTATCCAATATTGTCAGAAACAAAACAAAAAAACCTAAATGAAATAATTGCTTTTATGTCATTGTTACCACAACTCGCAAATGAAGTGAAACGAACCCTTGTACGTGTTGATGTGCGGAACAACAACAACATTTTTGTTGACTTGAAATGAAACGGTTTGACTGGCAGCATCACAAAACGCTTTGTGCGCGTGGGAAAACGTGCTCCGAATGTCGTGTGTGCGTGTAACAGCGACATCGAGAGCGCAAAGAACATTCCATCAGTCATGCGGGGAGCTGGAATGGAGCCAGGTCCCGACACGTTTGTGTCACTGCTGAACGCCTACGCCGAGAAGGGAGACATGGACAGTCTGAAGAAGGTGTGTCTGTCTGTCTTGAAATTGAACACCCTACCCTTCAGTATTTGACTCAATAAGGATGCCCGGTCCTCATCAGACGCTGGAAGAGGCGGAGAGTGCCGACTGCAGTCTGATGGACCGAGATGTCATGGATGTGATCTTCACGCTGGCCAAGGCCGGGCATCAGCAGCACATCCCCGAAATGGTGGCGCTCCTGAGGCACGAGAGGGGTTACGTCCCAGGTGCGCCTGCGATATGCCACACCGCGTCTTTCAAATAGTTGCTCGGCAAGCGCTGTGAGTGACTGTCTTTAAATGGTCAAACGATTCTCACCTTGCAGATGCGATGCACTTGTGTCTGAGCCTCATCACGCGGGGCCGCCACGATACGGCTTTCCTCATCCTAAGGACGTTTCCCAGCCTGCAGGCGGACGACGTCAACGCCGACTTGGCCAACCTGGGAAACTTCTTCCTGAGACACTGCATCAACATGGACACGGTGCTTGACATCTCTCGCTCACTGAGCCGGCTCATAGGATGTCGGCACCGGTCACCGTTTTGAAACTAAGCTCCCTTCTTCTTCTTACCTCCCACAAAAGTAGTTAATTTGTACCAGGACACATAAAAAAGTGTGGGTTGGTTTCCTCCAAGGATGTTGTCATGAAACTGTCGCCATCTTTAATAAAAGGAAAGCAACAGTCAAACTTCAGAATACATTACTGTATAGCAAACACGCGCAGAAGCTGTCATGTTGCCCAGATCTGATGCAAATTGGACCATTTTTTGCAAAGTACCCTGTCCAGACACTCTTGTCAAATCTCAGATCCTATTAGTGTGACGCAGTAAAATGACACTAATACGTTTGACCTGGTGACCAAGCAGTCGCCGAAATGAACAGCTTATGACATTTACTTTTTGCATCCTTTTCGCTCTCCAAATGTTCTTGGAAAGTCGCTCATTCGCTGGTGTCAAGAGGGAAACGCTTTGAAAGCCTTGTCGGGCGCCTGCGCTCTGAATGCTTTTGTCGCGTGTCGTGACCCGTTTTGTTGTTTGTGTTTGCATTACAGCCACTGGAGAAGATCAGCCGCTACTGCAAAGAGCTGCAGGACGCCCAGCTGCACGCCTCGCCGCTCCCTTTCACGCTGTCTTGCGCCCTGGAAGCCAAGAAGACCCGTACGGCGCCGAAAACACAATAGCTTGTGAAACGCCAAACCATGGTCACGTCATTAAGTGCTGCTTTCTTTTCTTGCAGATGTGTCTCTGGAGCTGATGAAGACGATGAAAGAACACAACTTGCCCATCAGACCTCATTACTTCTGGCCCCTGCTGGCACAGCACATGAAGGACAACAACGCAGCCGGTAACACGCACGCGCACGCACACGCGCTCATGTAGGAAAGACATGAGCATTGTAAATGCTCTCTTTTTAATGATCGTTTAAGTATTAACAGTCACACACATTAAAAATGCTCACAGTGATTTCTATATGCACATGCACACTTGAATGAGTAGAAATGTGACCCCCCCCCCCCCCAAAAAAAAATGACCACCTGTCAGAATTCTGCGTCTGGTTGGAAGGGCCACTTAAACCTGAAATGGGATGCTTTCCGAAATGATATTTATTTTTTTCGCCCGTCTGTGGTATCTTTCGACGTAGATATCCCTTTTCCTTTTGGTTGTTTCATGTGCATTGAATCTCGACATTTTGGTAAAAAGCTCTTGCTTGGCTTGCGCTTTTAAAAGGGAGTTATTGTCTGCTAGTTGTAGCATTCAAGGAAGGGCTGCCGTAACACCCCAGCAATGACAAAAATAGACAGCAAGCTGCCAACCGTCTGTCTGTACGTCCCATCTGAAAAGCAACCATTTGTGTTATTTTTTGCAATGTGGAGGGGGGATTGTGAGGGGTATTTTCTAGCAGAAAGAGCTTTTAAAAGGAGCGCTTCACCTCAAATATTAATGGCACCACCCCCCCCCAAACTGGGACGGATTTCACCGGACCGGGGCAGCCAAGGGCAAAGATGTCTGATCCCCCTCCCGCGTGAGAGCGTTTGAGCGAGAGGAGATGAAGCAAACACGTGCGCTCTCTGGAGGGCTCGGCCAAGAGATGGCAAAGTTTTTTTTCCAGGAGCTCCTAACTTCCCAATCGCAATAAACAACAACACTCTTGACTTTGAGGAAATGTCATCGGCCGTGAAAATGTTGAGTGGCTTTGTTCCAGCCCTCTGATCTTTGTGGCAAACCGGATCGTGGACTTGACCGCCACCTACAGGGCATCAGATGTTTGCGGCATTTCTGAGACCTCGCTCAGTCTTTTCGATGTGAGTTCACTGAAGGATGGGCTTTTTTCGGGGGTTTTTTTTCTCTTGAGTTTGACTATTTTTTGTTTTTTTTTTAATGGTAGAACACACTCAGACAATCTGATATTTTATGGATTCAAAAGAGTGGAACAACTCCATACAAGCCTCAGCTTTGAAATCCCCGTTCAGTCCGTTCCTGGAGTCTTGACCTTGGCTTTGTATCTGACCCCCAGAGCTCACTCGGGGGGATGGCCTAAAAGCAAAATTTCTTGGGCTCCTGTCAGGGAATTTGCCCCAGTCTGAAAAAGGTACACTAGACGGATGGACAATGCCAACTTGGGAAGGTTTCTTACCTGCGACATTTACCTGACAGAGAAAGGCATCAAAGTTTGCTGATCGTTTTTGACGATTCGCCATGTGAAAAGTGAGCGCAAAGTCCGTTGACGGCCGATTTTTCTTTTCAGGCTGCTTCACTTCACCTCTTTGTACATTTTCATTTGATACATGACAGTATGATATTTTTGCCAGTGACAGTGAGCTTTAGATGAAAATTCTTCACACTCCTTGATTGTGAGAAACATTGTCACGGCGTCGTCAAAGTTTCTCGCCTTTTGTTCCCGGTGACAGTTTTAATGGCTAGCTACTTTTGGAGACGATTCCTGCTGCCACTTGACGGTCCTTCCCCGGCCGAGCCTCGTGTTTTTGTCCCGCAGCAGCTCGGAGGACGAAGGGGGAGGAAGAGGAGTAGGGGTGGAATCGTCTCGGTGACAGATAGCCGACATTGTCAGAATCCACCGCTCGTTAGCGGACTTGCTGTCAAACGCGCATCGGCGGCTTGGCTTTTAAGTGCTTGATGTTTGCCAAGCGCCGTCCTCCTCCCTCTCTCTTTGGGGTTTTTTAGAGCGATTAATAAATGATGCATTTTGCCACTGTCAGCTAATTGACAGGGACGAGGAAGCGCTCGGTCCCGCGCAGCATCAACTCCTCTTGTGCGGTCGAGACGGCTCGTCAATGTGAGTCTTTGGCGCCTGACTTGGCAGCGTAGAAAAGAAGGAGGCATGATTTGAAACCACACACGAGCGCGCGCACACACACACACACACACACACACACACACACACACACACACACACACACACGCACACGCACACACATACAGGCCTAACCGCGGCTTCTTAGGAGACGCACAAACGCCAGGGAGGCGTCCATTTAGTCGTCACGGTGTAAAACGGAAGGAGGGAAAGTGGAGAAACTGCTCTTTCGTTCACTCGCTGGTCTGCCTTAACCCTCATGAATGATGCAGCCGCTTCCCCTCCGCTCGCTCTCACACACTCCCTAGTTGCAGGAGGTGTGTGTGTGTGTGTGTGTGTGTGTGTGTGTGTGTGTGTGTGTGTGTGTGTGTGTGTGTGTGTGTGGACAGAGAGGGTCTTACAGAGGGAGGAAGCAGGGGAGGGGGGGTCTTTGCAGGTGATGTGACTGATGCAGAGTGACTTGATTTCATGTAAATGCGAGCGCTCTGAGGGAATTCACTTTGGATTACGCGCCCCACTGTGCACGCTCCATGAAATATTAAGCGCCGTGTCACTTTTTGTCCACAGGTGTCACTAGCGGGCAGAGCGGTCCGAAGCTGCGGAATTGGGAGGGGAGCGCAAAAGGACAGCGGGGGGGAGAGGGGTGCATTTGATCAAGTGTGGATTTAGCGGAAGCATATGCCGGCCCGCACTGCCCACCTGCCACCAGCTAGTCATGGCTTGTCAGCACTCGCCACTTTTGATCACTTCTGACGCGGTAGAACAAGGGTGGGGGTGAGGATTCTGCTGAGGAAAAAAAAAAGGGGGGGTTGGGAATATTATGCACTTGTGTTGTCCGGTCTGCACCTGCCTGCTGATGCGGCCTCACCTTGAACTCTCTGATGCTGTCCATCCAAATTTCTCACAGTCACATTTCCACTCAGGTCGTAGTTGGAAGAAAGGTTGCTGAACTTTGGTGCTTTGTCGCTGAACTCAGAGTTTTCCGATATCTGCACTTGAGTATTTATTCTTCAGCCGACTTTTTGCTTTTTACTCTCTTCATTTGCAAACAGATAACGCTATTTTCTATTCCTTAGAATAGGCTTGATACTTTTTCCCGCCCAACCACCAAAACTCTTTTGTATTGTTGTACATTTTCAGACTTTTTGGACTCTTGTGTAGATACAGGAGGTGGACATGTGAAGGTCGCGGCAGGGATTCAAACCCGCAACCTCACGGTGTTGCCTTAATAGTCGTCTGTGATCCCCAAGCTCCTGTCAAGAATGTGCCATTTGCTTGCGCGCTTGTTATTTTCCATACAGTCTTTACCTCGCCGCAAGATCGAGCGCCCCCTCTGTAGAGTCACAGCCATAGAGAAGGGGGCGCAGGGGTTCGAAGAGGAGAAGTGACAGGTACTCGTGTCCAAGGTCGGGGGCAGAGACGACAGCGAGCGGTTGGCTCCGCCGCTCCTCTCAGGGCTCGGCGCGCACTTCTCATCTTTTGACAGTTAACCTGCAGACATGAAGCTGACGCTGATATCTTGTGACCGCTGCCATCCTTAACTCACTACTTTGATACTTCTCGCCGGGATTTGTGTCAGCCTTCACGCTAACAGACCTGGAGAGGACCCCCCACCGCACTTCCCCTCCCTCCGCCTCTTCTGGACTCACTTCTAAGCCCTGCGCAAAAAACAAAGTTGTTCGGACAAGGCCCGAAGCTGAGCGCGTCACTTGCATGAGATCTAGATGCCACATGAGCTCGCGCTATATTTCGCATATCGCCATAATCTGCCCCCACTCCCGTGTAACTCCAGGTCTTGTCACCCATAATTTACAGCAATTTGGTTGTGGAACTGTTTTCATCTAATGGAATGGAAGCGTTACGTTTGCCTCCATTTTTTTTTTTTTTTTTTTTTTTGAAAGGAGTTTGCAATTTTCAAACTGCTAGCAGGATTTGAATGTAGCCTCACCTCGGTTGGTTTTCAGTGGATACGAATAGCTCCTGTTCAATTTTCCACAGTAGCTCGTGTGTGGACTTGGCGCCCCCACCCCCGCCCCAGGTCTCCATTCACTTGTTTGCTGTTTGTCTGCCGCAGTGGAATTGATGATGGATTATTCAGCAGCTACTGCTTCTCTTTCATAAAAATAAATAAATAAATAAGCAGTGGGAAAAGCGATGAGAGCGGGGGATAAGAACGGACGAGCCGATGGCTGAATGGAGCGATAGTCCATTGAGAAGGAGGAAGATTGCTTGTTTTTCTTGGAAAAGGGGGAGTGAGAGAGAAGAAGATGGATAGTGAGAGGACCCGATGAATGAGCGATATGGACCGGAGGGGGCATAAATGGACGGAGCTGGTTCAGGTAGCCGTACCTGCTATCAGGCGGACACGGGTTTTAATGGCGTGTAAAAGCCTGGGACTCCTCTATTATTTAGCTAAAGAGCGAGACTGCCAGGTGAGCACATACATCCCGGGAGGATACGGAAACGGAGCTCCAGATACCAGTGTGTGTGTGTTTTGTCAAACCTGAGTGGCGAGCATAAATACACACGGCATATTGAGGTGTGCCAACTCTAGCACTTTTAGGTAGTTTGCAGAAGGCCGCATGGGAGGTTGGTATGTGCTGGACGTGGTCGTATAGCTGCGGGGATATTTCCGTCACAAAACTGCACTTAAAGTGAACGTATGTGTACACACGGAATGTGTTTGAGCACTCGTTTTAGCTCACGCGGGCACCCTCGCTGACATGTGCAAAGCGCTGCTGCTGTTGCTGCCTCCTTCATACTTCTGTGTGTGTGTGTGGGGGGGGGGCTGTGGCTGTTCCATATGCATGTGGCTGTTTAGGCCTGACTTCCCTTGGGCAGGACCTCAGGGCTCTGCTGGAGAGCAGGGCAACACTCGCAAGAGTCCACTTCAGGCCAAGTGCTTGTCTTACGCATGCCACTCTAGTCCGAGGTGAAGCAGTTGGCATCCATGAGCATTTTGTTTGGGGGGGGGGACGACACATGTTTTTCACTCTAGTGCTAAGAGTATTGTGCGTATGAGTCTGTTGATTGCTTAGCTGCACTTTTCTGCAGCTTCTACAGCTCCAGGCTTGCGCTTAAGTGTGCGCAGCACAGGGTGGGAAACTGCCAAGTGAAAGTCTTCATTTGTTTGTCGATAAAGTTGATTTTTCTGTGTGTTTTGAAGGTGTGGTGGAGGTGATGAAGGGCATGCAGGCGCTCGGCGTCACCCTGGACCTCGACACCGTATCCACCTACATCCATCCGGTCTTCTCCAGCGTTGAGGTTGCTCGACAGGCTTTCGAGGTAATGTGTGTGCGTGTATGTGTGTGGAAATGAATCTTGATTGCTCGTGCTTCCACCCGCCTTCCAAAACCATGCATACGTAAGACAGAAAACACCAGACAAATGCTTATAAAGCTCCACATTTTATTCTTTTGTTTCTTTCATCTGTTTTCGTGTATTTGGCATCAGAATAATCGAAAAGTTGCACTACAACAATATACTAGTACTTACACATTGCCATCTACGTGTTTTTTTCAACGGGGAATTGTATCCATTACATTTTTAAAGTCATCCTTCCAACTCTGTTTATTATCGTAGCCCCAATGCTAATTTCTTAGTCTGCCGATGGCAGTTCACATTAAAGAGAGCGAACTTTCTACGAGGAAACAAAATGGTTGAACGTTTCAGCGTTTAAATGTACAACGTCTGATCAGTAAGAACTTTTGTACTCTCTTGAATGATTTGAATATTTGCATCTTTCAGGATGCAGGCATTTCACTGCAATCAGAGGGTTTCTTAACTTCGGAGATTCGATTGGTGGCTACAAGCAACTTGGCTCAACTCTATACCTTGTGTATGTACGCACACACACACACACACATTCTGCCTTGTTTATTCCTCCCATTACGAACAAGCATGGCCTGCATCTTGAGCACCCGTCATTATAAAAATTGCTGCTATGCCTGCGGGCTAATTGGCCCAGTGCGCACACACGCACTCACGTACTCTTTGGCGCTCATCGGGCTTTTTAAGAGATTAGTGTGTGTGAATATGTAAAGAGCAAAGGACAAGAGGCGCCTCCACTGGGCAGAGGAGTGTGGCGTAAAGGGGGCCGGCTTAAATAATAGATGACGCTTCCCGTGTTTGTCGTTTTAGCTGGTTTTCGTCTCCTTTACTCATTTTCGCATTTGCTGTCAGCTCTGTGTCCCGTTTTACGCATTTCAAGAAGGTGCTAACGTAAAATAATTGTGGCAACCTTTCTTGCAGCATTATCTCCAGATGGTTACTGTCAAGTGACGTGTATGGGTAGACTTCAGATTTGTTTCGTTTGAATTTAAAAAAAAAAAAAGAAAAATGGAAAGAAAGGAGCTACTCCAAGTGCCATTTCGAGCGGGTATCCACGGAAAAAACAACACTGTTAGCCGCAAACACTTTTTGCCATCTGAAATGACGATGTTAGCCTTCACATATACTGTGTGTGTTGTGCGCGCATGCGTGTCTGTCTGTCTATCAATGCGTGGATTTGAAGTGGTGAAGGTCAGGAGTGAAGCAGGGAGCTGAGCGTGTCAAAGAGACACTTTGGAGTTTGAAGGGGGCTAAAGACTTTCTGCTATTAAAAAAAAAACAAAAAAACGGACTGACGGTTCACCTACAAGCTGACCACCTTCAACTTGACAAATCCAACCCTGATCCATGCCCGCTCTCCCTATTTCTGGGAAAAATAAATAAATAATCAAAATAAAATAATCAAAAAACCGTCCGCAAACTCATCAACCCTTGTGCAACTCCCTCATCCTGTTCTTCTGTTGGAAAAGTAAGGACTCCATTTTTCATCCAAGTAGAGTTAAATGTCTATTTGCCGACAAATCAACAGCGCAGATTAAACAAACAGCCTTCTACATGTATTCATCTCCCTTTTCCTGTCTTTTTCAGTGTCGGACCCTTCCCACCCCCCGCTGGAGCTTGGGATTTTCCGCGGCAGCCTCATCCAGGGCTTCAGAAAGTCAGTCAATTAACCTGTTGTGCGCACTGGCTGTTTCTCCGCCGCACGCGTGCGCACGCGTGCGCACGCGCTCCTACATTTCCATATTTTGCCACGCGACTCTGGACTCATGTTTTAGGGAGGCCCGTAGCACTCTTGGAGGTCACAGCGGCATATGTTTTGCATACGACATGTGCTGCCTATCACACCATCGACAGAGCCTCGGTGTGTATGCGTGCGTGCAGCTGCGGGGAGAAAGGCAGCATACGCACCCGGCTGCCTCATGCATATGGAGGCTTCATCCGCTGGCCCTCGCCCCAAAGCACCGTGGGAGATATGCAAATGAGCAGATGCCCACAGCTGCCCCCCCCCCCCCCCCCCCCCCCCCCCCCCCCCCCCCCCCCCCCCCCCCCTACCAAATAGCCCGAACCAGCCCTGCGGTCTCCCTCCGTTTCACCCTAGCACGCAAAGAAGCCTCGACCCCAGTCACACTGGCGGGCTCCGCTTGAAACGGGGTCTTTATGAATATTTAGCGTTTTAACGCGACGTTGTTGCACACCAATAGCGCTCCCCTACCCTCTTTCCTAATTCATGCCAGAGCCAGGCTGGAGGTGAGTCGCAGCAAAGTGCCTACTTGTCCGCTGGGACCCAAACAAACCAAAAGCCAACTTCACCAAATTCAGCTAAATTTCATTTTCAGCCAGTTTCACCGAGAGGCCCTTGAGAACTGTGTTCAAAATCACAAAATGTAATTTGTGACTCCATCCAATAATACAGGTCATATCCATACCAGCACAAATATTTATTTAAAAAAAATTAATAATAATCATAATAATAATACAATTCACATGAAAACTTTTTCTAGCCAGGGAATTGATGGAAACTTTTTTTTTTAATTATGAAGTCACATTTGTGTTAGTATTAACTTGACAAGAGTGAATATTTTTTTTTTTGTCATATTACATATTCGGGGCGGCCCGGTAGTCAACTTTTTCGCACACCCGCCTCAGGGTGCAGAGTTCCGGAGCCCGGAATCAAACTCCGGCCTCCTGTGTGGCGTTTGCACGTTCTCCCCGTGCCTGCGTGGGTTTCCTCCCACATTCTAAAAATGTGCACGGCAGGTTGATGGAACACTCGAAATTGTCCCTAGGTATGAGCGCGGATGGTCGTTGGTCTATGTATGCCCTGCGATTGCGTGGCAGCCAGTTGAGGGTGTCCCCTGCCTCCTGCCCGAAGATGGCCCGGATAAGCTTTGGCCCCCCGTGACCCTTGTGAGGAGAAGCAAATTGGAAAATGGATGGTTGGATTACATATTTCATACGTGTAGCGCTCGATAGTGGCTGCAAATTTAACTTGACAAAAAGCAGCAGTTTCGCAGGGAGTAAACTTCAACAAAATAGGTGTAGCAGCAAGTTGTTTTTTGACAGTCACTGTTGAGGTTTACTGTTAAACTAATCATAAGTGAAAGAGATTACGCATTGTCTATCTAAAATGACATCATGGTGCCTTGGCAAAGTCTGCCGTCTTAATGTTAACATATAATGATAAATGAATCGCATCGATGCTGCGGCAAGATGTTTTATGCATCAGATATTTCAACGTAAACGGTGCAGCAATACAATTTCAACAAATCTCACAGGCATTTCTTCATCATGCCGGTGGAAAAAAAGACTTGGTGCAGCTTTGCTGAGTTGCTTGAGAAGCTGTTTGTGGATTAAGTCAAGGCACTACTGGATGTGCACGTATCACCATGTCCAACATAATTTTATATTTTTATTTTCATCCATTTTGGAGTTTGATTCTGTTCCTCACCTCTTCTTCCGTTAACACACACACACACTCTCGTGCACTCCATAAGCCTCCCTGACAGGGTAGTAATTGGGACCTGCATGTGTGTGTTTTTGTGTGTGTGCGCGTGCCCCATTGTGTTGCGGGGACCTGTCAAAGACAAGGTCAAGGGATAATTTAATCATTAAAGACCTCTCCGCTTCTCCTCTCTCCTCCTCGCCGGCTCGCTGACAGCACCAGTGATGTCGCGCGTCATCATTTAGCGTGTGTGTGTCTTTTGTGGTTTGACGTGCTTTTGTCCCGCTGTCTCGTCTTTCTTATCCTGTGGGCCGGAGGGCGTCAAGCCTCATCTGCGCCTCGTGCGTGGCCTTTAGTGCCATACTTGTCACTTTTGTCGCCATAGTGATGTGACTGCAATGTTGCCTGATTTGCTAGCCGCGCAGTCAACAAATGGAGTCGATTAAAACACCTGCTCATCAGTACGTTGCAATTGAATTATTTGGCGGTGAGAAAGGCACGACCAAGCAGATTTTTCTCAGGATGACGTTCATGTGGTGTTGAAAACATGAAGAAAGACACCAGTGACTTAAATGAAGCTATATCCTCCGTAGACTGGCGTCGTCTTTTTTCTTATGCTCCAAGAGACCAAAGTATCTAAACTTGCTGGTGTGTGTTTGAAATGACAGCGTGTGGAATGAGAGCTAATGCCTTGTCCTCCACTGCCCCCTACTGCAGGTCTGATGACATGGAGAGTATGGTGAAGGTAATGAGCTTCATGTCCCCTGCACCCACTAGACACAACATTAGTCCTCATGGAAGCGGTACAAAGAAAGATTACGCTAGCCGACGGTCACTTGACAGAACTGCCTTCGTTAACCGAAACATTGAGTGTTTCAGTTAACATTCAATGTTAATTTTCAGGCTGTGCATATAGTGCAGGAATAAATCAATGTTTAACTTTGCGTTAGCTCCAGTGCAAACTAGCCGAGCCTTTAGTTCCAATGGAGATCTAACGGCTCTTTGTTTCTTCAAACAGATAACCAAGCTCTTGTATGAAGACGAACGCTTCAGCAAAGCACACACCAAACCGGCAGGTAAACTCTTGCCGCATGTTAGCGTTCACCTTTACAGCGTCGGCGGTTTGCAGCTATAATTCAACTCGCATAAAAATTGTGTGTGTGTGTGTGTGTGTGTGTTAGGGTGAAAGAAATGCCCTTGTTCGCCATAGGCGGAAACACAGCCTGGCCGCTGACACAGCACTGAGTTGTGACTGTGTGTGTGGCCAGCATGTAAAGAGCGTGAAATGTCTGCGGTAAAACGTGCGTTTGTGAGGCGTTAATGTCACTGTGTGCGTGCACGCGCGAGAGCGAGGCCAAGACCCAGTCCCCCAGTGGTGGAACTGGTGTGTGTGCGTGTGCTGGTGCTGGTGCTGGTGCAAGCGATGGAGATTGCTATCCATGTCACATCCCGTTAGACAACATCTGCGAGCCTCGCTTTGTATGTGGGTGGGCGGGCGGGCGGGCGTTCACATACGCATGTGTTGAAGTTAGCCACCGCTGTCAGCGCCAGCCAACCATGGCACACACCGCGACCCCAAAGCAGCCTCTGTCAGCAGGACCGCCACGAAAATATAAACACACAAATGGATGCACTGACTGACGTGGTGGCAAATGAAATGTATTCCCTGGGCTGCTACTCAATGCGCGTGTGTGTGTTTTCACATCCAGACACGGTCGCCTACTTCCTGTACAATCTGATGGACAGCATGTCAGAGAGCAATATGCAAGCGCAGGAAGACAAACTGAGGAATTACTTCAACCAGCTGAAGGCGCAGGTACACACCTGCACCCTCGTGTGAGACATAAAATGTGAACCTTTTGAGAAGAAAAAAATATTGGGTAAAAAAAATACTTGGATATGAAGTACAGTACTGAAAAATCATGATTTAAAAAAAATACAAAATGATTACACAAAAAATGTATATTGACACAAGAAAATAATTCTGATAAAAATATTATAACCAAATACTACAAACTTGGGACAAAAAAAATACAAACGTTGGAAAATAATAAAGGAAAAAAAAATATGAGTCATGCACCGATAGCACTCCTTTCAGACCAAATACATTTGAGCACTCATAGACACTGCGCAAGGATACTTTTCAGCGTATCCTTAAGGTGCAGAGAATCAGCACCTCCCTTGTCTTTAAACTCGCTTTGACTTTATTTCCAGTGCGTCATCAAGCAGCCAGATTACTCGCTGCGTGCAAACTCTGAGCTGAGACTTCCAGACGTGTTCCGACAGATTAGTTCATGTTTCACAAGCTGCCTCTTAGCCATTCAGCTCCGTCTGCAATCCCGATATAAATTGTACAGTAATCCACACCGTAAACATCTTGCTGTTAACATCTGCAGATTTTAAAAAAGCGTCTCGAGATGCTTAGTCTGCTTATAATGTCATTTCTTTGCCACCTTCATTTTTTTTTCCCCTTGTCGTCTGCCCCAAGAGCATTTAAATTCACCTTTTAATTTCCATCCTCATTCATCCTTTAATTTAAATGCAAACTCTGTGGCAGCCCCTAATTGGCCCTCGGCGGCTGAAGTCAATTAAAGCTGGACCAAACTTAACCACTTCTTACTTATGGCTTCATTAATCTTGACCTCTTTTGCCCCTTGAACATGCGTGCTTTTAAGTTGATCCGTTGGTCATTTGTTTTTATTTGACAGAACATCGTCATCTCTGCAAATATCTACAGAGGCATCAGAAACGTGCTGGAGGCCTGCCACGCTCCAGAGCTCATCAAGGTACAAACAAACGCACAGCACTTGATCACCGAACCGCTGAATGGCACCGCTGTTCGCGAGTGTGCTGATCCACGTCGGCGCATTCGGCGCACAAACATTTACCGAGCAGTCAGATATGTGCCGCTACTCAGAAGCGAGCTAGTGCTGTTTGTTGACGCTAATTTGCTAAACCCAATGCGGCTCTGCTCATCGTTTGTCATGGGGGGGAGAAGGGCAGAATTTGGTCGGGGGTGTTGTTTTGTCATGACCTCACTGTTACATCACAGTGGGGCAAAATTCTGAAGGACTTGCTCATGGTCATATTTTGGGGGCCAGGGGGGAGCAATTGACAAAAGATTGACTTCCTAGTGTTTTTCCACACATGGTGGGCGTGCGGGCGCTCGAGTGAGCAATCTGTTTGTATGCAAAGAATTAAAAAAGGAAGTCTGACCTGACTCTGCATATTGACCTCGTGCGTCTTTGTGTCAGGATGTGATCGCGCTGGTGGACCCAAATGAGCAAACGGCGCCCCGCCTGAACGTAAGTGGGACAACAGTGTTCGGCTTTTGATTGATTTCTTTGTTTTCATCTCTTTCTGAGTAGCGTTAACCTTTGTGTTTGCTTACCGTCAGGGACTTGAGGGGAAAGTGCCATTTCTGGAGGCGAAACTGGCCGAGCTCAAAGCGGAAAACAAACCTCTGGCTTTGACGCTGAAGCAGGTCATCCAGGCTCTCTCGGCTGAGGAGGTACACTGCTTTAGGCTTGTTTTTTGATCTCACTTTTTGATGCCGGCATCATGACACCTCTGCCTCTCCAATGGTGTGCAGTTGGCCGGAAACGTTTTGATGGAAAATATTTTGCAAAATGTGAACACAAAGGAGACAGCATATACCATACCATGTACAAACTAAAATAGTTGGACAGTTTTTGGAAAAATACAAGAATATTCCGAATACAAATATGATGAAAGAAAAACAATACTACGTCAAAAGTATCACAAAGTACACAAAAATATAAGAATAGAGAGCAGCCTTTCGATGAAAAATGATCCGTGGAAGTCATTCTCGAGATGATCAAGAAGACATTCATAACTTCACGGCAGAACTTGATTGCGGTACTAGTCATTTTTATTCAATGAACTTTTTCACCGTTTTAATCACGACTAATAAAGTGCACCCCTCTTCAAGATTGTCGTCATCCTTCTCACTGCTTTTTGCGTTGATTAGCTGGATGAAATCACACAGTTGGCAGCCGTTCGGATGAGCTGTGTGGTCCATTTCGTCTTAAAGTTACCCACTCTGCCTCCTCAGCCTTTGAAGGGCCTCCACTTAGTGTTTGAATAGATTTTTTAAAATTATTTTTGGAGGGGGGGCGGGCGGGGGCTTTACAAGGTAACTAATGATGCAAAATGCATTGCATTGTGCTGTGAGGGTCTGCTGTATTTTTAATGGTTGGGCTCTCCTCTTAAGAGCCTCCGCCTCTTTGCAGAACCTGCAGCGCGCCCTCGAGCTGAAGCGGCAACACCAGGACGAGATGAGCCTCGGGGCCTACGCCGTCCTCATCAACCTGTGCTGCCGCCACAACGATGCGGAGGAGGCGCTCAACCTGAAGAGGGAAATGTGCGGCAAGCAGGATACGCGCACGCCACGCACACACATGACGCCGCAACCATTAAAGTTGAACTTGATCGCTATCGGGAGAGACATTAATGCAAGGTCCGGCCGGCCCGCTCTGTTGACTGCGTCGAACGCAGGAAAGCCCCCCCCCCCCTCGCCCCCCGCTTCCCGTTTCTTCCATCCGTCACCTGCTCCCCACATCTGACTACAATACGATGAGCGGAATACATGAATCCCCAATGTCTGTCTCTCTCCGTTCTCCTTCCTCAGGAGCCGTCAGGATTCATCCGTGGCGCTTGATAGCAGTAAATACATCGCACTTGTCAAGGTGCTCGCCAAGAATGGCCGAGTGGAAGGTAAGCTTGTCGCCAGTGAGTTCTCTCTCCCAGTCATTTGGTTACTCTCCACTTCCGCATCCTTGCACTGAGACGCCGGCCGTTGAACAGTCGTCCTTCATTTTCAAACTGTCGGAGCTCTTTTCTCACCAGACTGATAAACGTAGCGATTTTGAGTTGCATCGCAGGTGCAAAATCAAAACCGGTCAAAGCAAGAATCGGATCGTGTTGGATTGTATCCAACACCGGATCTTGGATTGAAGATTGAAGTGTTGTCACAACCCCCCCTGGGTACAGTTGTCAACCAGGATTAGCGGGAATGTCAGAAGAAGATAAAATAGCCTACGTAGCCGCCGTCTCTGCTTGAGCAAGAAAAAAAAAATTCAGAAAGTTTCAAAGACTGCAGTTGTCTTGCACTGCAGGAAATGTACAGCTTTTGAAAGCTATCTTGAGTTGAGGGGTTTTTTTTTGGGGGGGGGGGATAGTCTAAAAATGCAAAAACAACAAAAAGTATACAAAAATATTTGGCCCCAAAAATTGGATGGATCATTTATGTTTGACAACCGATATGTATTTGACAAGAATATCAGACAAAAATGCTTCAATTGTGAATGAAAAATGCAAAATGATTAGGAAAAAATACAAACGTATTCCACGTATAAAACCTGTAGCAATACATAAAAAAATTTACATCCTAAGATATGAGACAACACAACATACACAAATATTAAAATAAATGTACATAAATAATTTGGTGACATACAAAGATACAAGTATTGCATATTTGACAAGAAAACTCATTTTCCCCTTAAATTGATTCAGCCTAACTTCAGTGACGATTGTTTAATGTCAATTTGATTTTTTTCCTTTCCTTTCATTTATTTTTTTTTTTAATCTGGCGCAATGTATGGCGTGTCCCCCATCAAGTCATGGTCATTTCTTGTCACTACAGTATAGGATTTTTAACATTTAAACACCAAAAGAGACCCTTGCTGTTGTCAGGTCAGTCTTTTTCTTCTGTTTCTTAATAGTCACTCACGCTCTATGGAAAAATGTTAAAAGTGTGTGAGTGCCTGTGCGCGCGCGCGCGCGCGTGTGTGTGTGTCTCTCACCGGTCCGCCTGTCTCCCTCAAAGCATACAAATTAGCCAAGCATTTTCACAATGCTACGGTGAATTTCCTTCTGCTCATCGAGGAGCCAATTACCATCAGTGCTGCCGCTTTGCTTTCTATTTTTTTCTCTCTCTCTTTTTATTCACACAATGACAGCCAAATGTTTCCCGTGTCTGTCCTCTGTCCTCCCTCCTCGCACGGCCGTTTGACATCTCTAGATACACACGCACGCACGCACACAAATGTGCACGCACCCCTGCATCAGAGAGAAATGAGAGGGGGAAAATTACAGGACTCTGTGCATTTTTGTGGAATTATTGAAATCCGCCTTGATGCTCATGGCAGATCATGTCCACCAAAGTGCCTGAGTGGTGTGTATATACACACACACACACACACACACACACACACACACACACACACACACACACACACACACACACACACACACATTTGCATGTGAATTCAAGCAAAAGGTATTTGTTGGGCGCGACAGTTGGAGTGTCCGTCTGCGCGTGGCGGCTTGTGCATAGGCCGCGCTAAAGCGTTGGCCATTAGCCTGAGTGCGCGCAACGGGCGAGACGCTTGTCGCCCACATTAGCACACTTGGCTAACCTTGATGTTAGCGCCCCCCCCCCCCTCTCCCCCGCTCAGGCACCGGCGGGCTTCCCGGCTCGCACCGCGCACACCGGGCCCCAGATGACGATCATGTTGACCGGCGTGGTTTTTATCACGGCACCTCTTTTGCTGTAGTTCAACTCGTGCCTGTTAACTTCTTCACTTTTGACTTTCCTCCTCGTCGAATCAATGAATTTACGTCTGCTGCGTCTTGAACCTTTGTTCAAAACATCTGTCTTCACATCTGCTTCAAGCCTCTTTGTCTGACGATTGTATTTTACATCTGGATGCCACGTTCATCTTAGAGGCCGTTATGGCCGTTGCTCATTATTGCATACGTGTGTAAGTGTGTGCGTATGCGTGCGTGTGGTCACGGGTCGATCGCGGGAAGCTGGTTGATCAAAAAATAGAGCTTCAGTCAAAAATGGTTGGGCACCCCTGTTCTACAGGATGCACTGCAGGGCAAAAAAAAAAACATTTCATCATGAAGGCTGGATGTGCATTTGTAGCCAACTTAGTCATTTTGATAGTAGGCGAAGAGAGCTAATATCGATCCATACAGCATGGGTTGCCTTCATTATAAGGCTTTTCATTTTTGGCGGCTCCAGACATATGTTGCCGACCCCGCCATAGATGAAAGTAAACAAGACAGAACAAGCATGCTTTGTAACTCCTCTTTTGCCGGCCCTAACTGCCATCGAGCCTTGAATTTCGCATTTAATAAACAGCTGTCAGTGGGTCGTAGGTTAGAAAACGATTCATGTCTTTCCGACGTTTTAGTCAATCTTTGGCCTTCAACTCTATCAAGCATGCAGTCTACTGCCAATAGGGGAGACGGGAAGTAGTCCCCCCTCCGAAACAAACAACTCGCAAGAGGTTATGGTGAAAAGCTCACAAAATAGGAGACACTGCCTCAGTCTTCCGCTTGTCTTGCCTTTCTGGATTTAACTACACCTCTCCATCACCACTTGTCTCTTTGACCTGCCCTTGGCCTTCACTTCGCCTGTCGTTCTTTTCCGCCACGTGCTGCGAGTCGGTCGTCTTTGTCTCTTTTCGCCTGCTCCCGCGTCAGGGAGCATTAGATGAACCACCGGACTGTGTGATGTTAGTTTGCCTGTCCTCCTCCCTGTCTCCTGATGCTCGCTCGCGTGCACGTGTGAGTGGTCTGGCTCGCTTTGCCGGCCCAGATGCTTGGCTGAGCTGATGGTTATGCATACTGGCGAGACGGGCGGGTAAAAGCAACGGCGGATGCCCGCCGGGAAGCGCGGGGTGGCTTGAATGGTGGATGGACCGCTCCATTTGGCCCGATCAGCTCCGAGCCATTGGCCTGGGTGATTAGCGGCTGTGTCACAGGGTGATGGAGAGCGCGGCTCGGAGACCGCGGACTTTAGTTGGGGGTGAGAACTGAGGGCGTTGATCCACCAGCAACACACGCGTGACCGTGGAAATGAAAGGTGAAATCCAAGGGGACGACAGGACATCCAAGGGAAGGGCTAGAGTTTTCGTCTCGCTTATCCCCAATGCAGTATAATTGCCATTTTCTACACACGCGCACACACACACATATGCATGTGTGTGTGTGTGTGTGTGTGTGTGTGTGTGTGTGTGTGTGTGTGTGTACCCCCCCCCCAAAAAAAAAAGAGAAACCATAATATAAGACAAATAGCCAGCAGTTTCTTATGTTAAATCTGGTCCTGTTCACATATGTCTAGCAAACTGAGAATTTTGCTGTATCCTGACATGCTAAACAATGGTGTATTCCTCGTTCAGATGCCTGGCATTGCGTTTTCGAGTTCAGCCACACCTGCGTACTGGAAACCTTACAGATATTCCGCGCACGTTCGCGTCATGCCCCTCGGTCACGGTGTATAGATGAGTATCTGGTTTGGAAAGCGGCTGTATCGCTATCAACCCATTAGCAGCTGTCTAAATAGATGGTAAATGCATCTTAATGACTTTATCCTCGTAATACGCACGCACGCACGCATGTGTGCACACTCCCCTGTTCAGCCCCCCCTCCTGTGTTGGCCAGATGGGTGCGTGGCGAGGAAAATAGCCCTGCATTTCCATGCAAAATGGACGGGCCCCTCATCCCGTTTCCAGAGGTCTCGTCGAGGCCGCGGCTGGCCCTCGGCGCCGCGTGCCTATAATTTAGCCCGCCCCCACCCCCTTCTCCGCCTGGCCAAGGCGAAAAGATGGCCTTCGTCGTAGGGGTCCTCTAATTGTGGTCTCGTTTCGAAAACCGCACGTAGCAATTAGAGCAGAGTTGGCATTATCCAGGGTTGCATTTGCATCCCCTGCTGCGAGCAAAATGCTGTTTTGATATGGATTTGTTTTCCCTGCGTGGAATTAGCTAAGAGGGCCTTTTATGAAAGCATTTGCGCACCCCACTTTTCCTTTGTTTCGGATCGCATGTGTTCATTTGTTGCTCTTTGTGTTGTCTGGCGGCTTCTTCTCCAGAGGCCGTGGACATCCTGAAGGAGATGAGAGAGAAGGACGTGGTGCTGAACGACAACCACGTCACCATGTTCTTCCACACCCTCAGCGCCGCAGTGGCCAATGGCGGCGCCCCCGTGGTCCAGCGCCTTCAAGACACCATCTTCACGTTGGGACTGGCCAAGCCCAGCGCCAATCTCTGCGCGCCGCTGGTCAGCGCCTACTTGAACAGGTAACGCCAACTCGCCCTTTGCTTGCAGCCCATTGTGGCGCCACGTCCATTCGGCATGTGTTGGATGCGTGCGAGCGTGTACCTGGGCCCGCCGCTCATCCCTCCCTGTGATCATAGCCGAGGTTACGTTCCGGTTCAGCGCCTCAGACGGATGAGAGGATGTGGAAATTGCTCATTTGCGTACGTTTTTGTGTTCCCGAGTGCATGTGGCTTTGTTGTTTTGGACTCGGCAGCTGCAACCTCTCCCATGAGTCCCCGCCCCTGCTTCCCCACCCACTGCTATATTCCCAAGGTGTGTGTGTGTGTGTGTGAGTGTGTGTGTGCGCGCGCGCGCGCGCGCGCATCTCTCTCGATGTCAAATGCAGATCAGTGTTATCAAACATTGGCCGCGGGGTCACTCGTATTGGCCCGCCTCCTCAGCGCCTCTGTGCC